GGGGGGGGGGGGGGGGGGGGGGGGGGGGGGTTGCGTGGAGGATAGAGAGAGCGACAGACAGAGAGAGAGAGCGCTCTTAGACAGAAGACAGTGACAAAAAAACCTCCTGATGTCTCTTTTCTTCTCCTGCGTTTAGTAAACTCACGCGCATCCTGGATAATGTCCGAGGATGTCCATTTCTGGGACTTTGAGCAACTATTACGTGGACTCCATCATAAGTCCCGAGGGCGATGAACTCTCGGGACCAGCCCGTTTTCCCGGTGTGCAGTACTCCGGGTCCAGCTCGGCTGTGAGCGCGAGCGGCAGGCAGCCGGTCGGGGCTGCGCATGTGGACCCATCCGAACCGTACCCGTCCTGCAGCTTTCAGCCCAAACCTCCGGTCTTCTCGTCCTCCTGGGGCTCGTTCGGCCCGCATCACAGTGTGGGTGGCCTCTCCGCGGTTTACCATCCGTACCTTCCAGCACAGCACGTGCCCGCGGCAGAGACGCGCTACCTTCGCTCCTGGTTGGAGTGCGCGCCGCGTGACTCGGACCCGGGCCCAAGCCAAGCAAACCAGGTCAAACTAGAGCCCCAGCTCGGCCATAAAGGTGGAGAGATCCCGCTCAAACCCAGCGGGCAGCACCAGCACGAGACCACAACGTACATCTTTGAGTCAGCGCGCGAGCTGAGTCACCATCCCGCAGCCGGCGCGGGCCCGGGGTTCGAAGACAAGGACGTCTGCGACGGAAGTAAAGACAAAGACAGCGTGGATCAAAGTAAGTTCTGAAATAAGAGGCTGCGGAGGAGGAATGGAGAGGAAGACTGTAAATGTTTTTAATGCTGCCATAAAACAAGAACAAAGAGCGCCCCGCCACCCCCCACCCCCACGCGCCTTACTTGACTCACGTTAGCCCGAAAGATCTTGCATGAGCCTCACAACCATTTTATGAAGGAAGAAGAATAATCTGATAAGTATCTGCTTTAATCTGTGCTCTCACACAGCTGGAAGGATGGAGGAGCTTTCAGGTTATTCAGTGACATCATGACTTCTTCTCAAACAGAACAGGATCTCAGGGTGTGTGTGGGGGGTGGGGGGGATTATGGCCAGAAGTCCTGCTTTTATTTTTGTTTTAAAGGCCATCCGCGGCCTCGCAACGCGCCATTTAAAAACTAAAATTATTTCAACAAAACATCGATGAACAAATTCACACTACAGAATACAATCTAATATTTCTCTGATGGGGGACTTTCAGATCTATCTATCTATCTATCTATCTATCTATCTATCTATCTATCTATC